CTTTTATATTCAGTTTCCTTGGAGCAGTGGAGACGTACAGAGTGATAAAGCAGTCACGTTACGGCTAATGCGAGGGGATGTTTGCTTATGGACCACTGGCTTTCACGTTTTACAGCTTATTTCTGATCAGCTGAACAGACTAGTATAGGTTGTAAATACCAGTCAGGATTTTATAATAATCTACAAGAGCCTCGTTAGCCGACCATTTCGAGGTTCATGGCTAAAAGAGGAACAAACTCCACTTCACCCTGCCAAGCAGCCCGTTATTTTGATCCTTGTCTACTCCCTGCAACAAAGAACAGAGGATGGATTTTAGGGGAGCAGAATATTAACCATCATCTGTAGAAAGAAGACAATGAAAAGTATAGGTGTGTACACCTTTCCTTCAGTAGTTCACTGATAGACGGTGCTTCTTCGGCTTTTTGACTAAAACGTACCACTAGGCATGACGGCCACGTGACATCGACCTATGCATCTCAGAGTTATCAAGATATAGACCGTAGAAGTTCCTCTTCTACTTAGCGCAACTGTCCTACTGACCCGGCACTATTCATAATTACGTGCTATTTTTGTTCGAATACTCGGGCATCTTGACAGAGGTTAATGTGAGAGTAGTTATTTAAGGAAGTCTCTAGGACCGTTTACAACCCCTTCGAGTGCCGCCATCGGTTTGTTGCTTTCCCAATTTGAACTACGTCACGGCAGACAACAAAGTATCTTGATGATCGGTCCGCTAATGCCTAGTCTGTTCTAGAAGACAGGTTCATAGCTAATCGTAGAAACTATGCCACCTAAACATTACCGACAAAACAGACAATTGTTCTATTTCGTTTCCCATATTAATGCACGTCCGCCTGTCAACTTTTTCACCGTAATGTGTGATTTCGCCTCGACGTTCAGACGAAGTAGGGCAAAACAGAGGGTGGGGTAAGCATGTTGGTTCGCTTGTCAGTGTGTATCGAACTCCAGTTTCACGAAACGTTCGGGGAAAACTTGAGTTCTCTTCAAACAGACAAAGCATTCACATGCTATTTGTTATATTTCACGACAGGTCACAATCCAGAGTTGAAAGGGCATCGCCCAAAACGTCGAACGAGAACTCTGAGTTAACGTAAATCAAAACTAAGCACAAGTTTGTTACCACCGGCAGATAGCATTAACAGAGAAAACTAACAGTATCAGATAACGCATAACTCCTTCAAGACCAGACTTCACAGCGAATTAAACAGCTCCGAAATTGCCTATGGATGGAGGGGGCATTTAAAAGTAGCTCACGATTCAATGGTATTTGAACATCTGTAATGCCAGAAGCATCTCGTAAGGTAGCGCAATACGCCGTGAAATCCGGTTTTGAAGCGTTGTCTGACGTACTCCGGGGTAAGAACATAATTTGACGTTTATGCGACAACAAACAGTACTATCATAACCAACTTATCAAACTATGGCCGTATATTACAAAATTGCTACTGAGGTAAGTTTTCGTTTAGCGACAAACGATTATCAATTAAATGATAACCATCCATCTAATGCACCAAACAGATGGCGCGGTATGGCTGCGAACAGATGGCAGCAAATTGAATTTAAACCCAAATTCCGCTGTAAGGCAGCCTTTCATCAATGACTAGTTTTAGAAGTTGTGCAATGAATCGAAACGCATCGTCCGCAGAAACTAGGCTGCAGATTGAGTTTGCTTTCCTGAGCCAATCAGCTGGAAATATACTTGCCTTAAAACTGTTCGTAATTTAGTTAAAATAAATTTTTGCCTCACGTACGTCGAATCTGCGTTTACTTCATGCCATGTCATGGAAACATTTGCCTGCGCGTAACGCTAAGTCAAGTACTCATGGCTAAACCGGAGCTAAAACGCTTCCTTCTCACTGCGAGTGTGAAATATATTTTCCACGGCGGCCGGAAACTGAGCAGGAAGGTATGACTGTCTGTAAAGCGGAAT